TAAAAAATATTAGGCTGCTTAGAGAATCTTCAGAATGGCTAGAAAGATGAAGATTTAAAATTATTTGCCAGGAGCAATGCTCATAACCAGGATGTCGTGGCCTGATGAAGGAACCTCCCTGGTGCCACAGCCACCACAGAGAAGCATAGACCAGGTATGCGATTTTTCTGAAACTATGACTACCACACCATGGATGTCACTTCATTTCTACAAGTGCTACTTTGTGGAATACTTTTGTTCCAACTACACCACTAAAACAGAAGGTCTGTGCAGTGGCCAGTATCATGCTGATAATATCCAAAACAGTCTTCTCTGGGTTATTCTGATTGGAATAGCTTAGGTCATATTTCTGAGCAACAATTGCTGGAGAATCAGAGAATTTTGTCTCTGCCTTCCATAATGGGGAGAAGACACTCAATGTGAGAATTTTTCCACATATAGAAAAATTATTCAAAATATAAGGGGCAGGTATGAATATAATTAATTTACATCAAGATGTACCATAGAATAAAATGTGTAATTATAATTACTATTTTTTCCTCCTACTTAAATAAATTAAATATGAGATAATAATAAGTTATCCAAAATATAAATTTGAAAGCAAGTTGTAACTTAAATAACATACTATTGTCAACCTGTAAAGTATGGCTTAGTTAATAAAATAAAATAATTCTCATAGTTTTAGGTTAGCCTCTACAGTAAAAGAAATATTCTTATGTTTAAAATAAAAAGATGTATCAGAGACTAACACTTTCTAATAACTTGGATTTACTAGAAAAATCATGTAGTCTGTTGTTGGGATGAATAAATCATGATGATATGGTGAATGGCTACCAGTATGTTGATTTAAAAAATACTGATATAATATTAATACATATCTGAACTTCAGGCCATTTATTTAAACATAAACTCAATCCTTATAAGCTTATTCATATTTAAAGCATTTTAAACTTTATTCAGTATTCACATTGGGCTCACATTTCATGAACAGGTACATAGTAGAAAAGTAATGAGATAAACTTTGATGTCTACATTATTATTTTAGAAATTGTAACATGAATGAGAACCACGTCTGGGGCTTCTGAATACTGAATAAAATAAAATCCCCCGCATCTTAAGAGAGTAATGTCATATTGGGACATTCAATACTGTGTTTTTGAGGCAGGACTGGAGGCACTTCCATGAAAGAAACAATTATGGCCAAAACCCCAAAGGATGGGCTGATGCCCTAATGGATCCTTTTTATATCACTAATTGCAGCAATTTTGTGGGTGAAAGGAACAACACACAAAGCAGCAAGAAGAAAAACTTGAAGTACTTATGTTTCTAAAAACATCATTTAATAAATTATAAGAAGACTAGAAGGAAGTCAAGCAACCAAGTGAGGAAATGTGGGTTTATTCCCCAGACAGTCCTTAAAAGATGGGAAGGAGAAGAAGCTGAGTATAGACTGTGGATAAAATATTTACAAAATAAACCCCACAGGCAATAATAATTGAATATTTTATATTTTGACTTATTCAACTTTTATGATTTAATTCTTTTCTTCATTGAGTTTAATTAAACTTTCCCCAGGGTCACGGCCTTAAAAAATTTTTTAAAAATAAGACTTTTGTTTACCAGGCAAATTTTCACAGTTCTCCTTAAACTGAAGTTATCTATTTTGTTAAAATTGTTTTACAAGGGCTGCTGTTCAGCATTTTTAAGGTGCCAGCCACTTCACTAGGAAAAAAAAAAATCCTTAATATAAGTTTTGCAAAGGCAATGCCTTTTGCACTGAATTTTTTTAACGTTTTCTGTGCTATGATATATTTTTTCTTATGAAATATGAATAACACCTTCAATACTATATATGAAAATATATACAATAATATTCTTATAAATATTTTCCATTGCAAGGCAATTAAGTTTATGTGCTTAATATAGGAAATGTATTATAGAACAGTAATTGAAACTATTTTTTCACTCATTTGTTTACTCCAATTATTGTTTAATTTATTCATCTGTATATTAATTCATTAATTTATTCAAATACTACCTGCCATATACCACTTATAATGCTAGGAGATACTAGTGAAAGACAGAAAGAGAGCAGAAAAGAAAGAAAGAAAGAAAGAAAGAAAGAAAGAAAGAAAGAAAGAAAGAAAGAAAGAAAAAGGGAAAGAGAAAGAGAAAGAAGAAAAAGAAAAAGTGAAATGGTGCTAGTGCTTTCAAGGTAGAGTGGAGTTAACTCCTTTCTGCTTCCACATGGCCTGGTGGAATGAGCTCTATAGTGAGTACAGGCTTTAGAATTTTTACAGACTAATATGTGATTGGATCTGGGTTGAATCTGAAGATTGAACAAAGGGAGAAGAAGAACCAAAGGACAACGTGCCTCAGCTCTTCCAGTCTCTTTCCCCTTCTTTCAACCACATCCAAATTTCTAGTTGTAGAAAGTCAGTGACTACATCAGGCCATTCTGGCTTCCACTGGGAAGAAGTGTAGTTATCATAGGATACAGCAGAGTAGGTAAAGAAAGAAACTTGTTAATTTTAATAAAATAGGTCATCCTTATACCATCTGTATAGGATACTATAATAGTTTATTTGAAATAAAGTGCATGAATGAAAAGGAGATTATTGAAAGATCAGCAGTTAAGGGTTTACTTCATTTCCTTGTTAGAAAAAGTCACCTCCATCAAGAACAATATCTTCCTTGTCATCTTGGTGCTGTCCAAAATTGTGTAAAAAAAAAAAGGTGATCTCTACACTTATTTTAATAATATGAATTTTACTATCAGTAGCCGGAGAGGTAAAAACTGGCTTATGAAAAAAAGTCATAGAGATCTTGATAGAAATCAGACCTAGCTATGATGAGCAATTTAAACATCACCATTCTACAAGTCATATAGGCTTTGGATTTTTTTTTTAAGCTTTTATGTTAGGCTCAGTAATACATGTGCTGGTTTGTTATACAGGTACATGTGTGTCATTGGTGAGGGGGCTGTTGCACAGATTATTTCATCACCCAGGTACGAAGCCTAGTGTCCCATAGTTATTTTTTTTCTGCTCCTTTCCATTCTCGCACCCTCCACCCACAAGGAGGCCCGAGTGTCTGTTGCTCCCTTGTGTTCATGAGTTTTCATCATTTAGCTCCTACTTTGGATTTTTCTACATGCACAAAACATTAAAGAATAAAAATTTGCTTAATTCAGCTGAGTTGAGTTTTTTGTAACTGAATAGACTACATAGCTTTTATTTTTCCTTTACAACTTTTGTGAGAAACTCAGGACCTTTTTATTTGGAGTCAAAAGTCTTCAATATACAGAAATAAAATTCAGTTTTCTGGGTAATTTAAAATATCTATTAAACACTGTTGTTTATTAAATCTTCAGCATCCTTTCTCTGAATATTCATCCAGCTAATAATTACTGACTAGGTGCTCCATTTAAGGTTGTATGTGATTTACTAAAGGGACCATAAAAGTGATGAGAAAGTTAGCTTAGTTTTGCCTTCACGATTATTCATATATATATTCACGTTTCTGACTAAATAATTCCAATTTGGCTCTATGTTTTCTGTTTTAGAAACAGTTCAAAGTATAGTTGCTTTTGGTGAATGCTGGTATTTTTTCTTAATGAAATGAGGTATAAAGAAGTAGCATAAAAAAGTAGCACTGGCAGAAGCAAGTGGCAAGTTTTGTTGGTTTAGCAATCAAAAAGTTATCTACTGTGCATATATTTTATACATATACATAATATGCACACAAATACATACACACAAATGTGTGTTTATATATTTTGGGCGTATATATTTGCAAAACATTTATAAAGCTGTTACCATGACATTTTTTTTTTTAACCACCAATACATGGTAGGAAATGTTAAATGTTCACAGCAAACTGCTTATTTTCCTTTATTGGATGACATGTTTTTAGACTAATTCCTATTCTCACCTGTCCCATCCATGAATATCTTCTTCTTATAAAAAACACAGCAATGAGAAATTTAATGTTACAAGTGTATACAATAATCTTTGAATAAAGGCAATTCCCTGGGAAAAGGTGAGTTTTAACATACTGAAGTTGTTGTAAGATTTATCACAAGAGGTTAATCTTTTATACGCATACACACCCACACACACACACCATGCACATATACAGAAAATGCTTGTGTGTGAAATACACATATATTGCACATAATCATTTGCTATTTTTCTCCTGACATACCTGACATCTTGTAACTTTTCCAAAGGACTCTGAAAATAAACAACTATAAATAAAACAACATTGAAAACTTGAGACTTGATTCCCCCTTTTTTTTTTTCTTGTGAGACAGCCAGCCTCTCTCTATGGAAGCTGTTCTAAGGTCTTGTACTATAGCTCTGTTGAAAAATTGCACTGGCTTGCCAAATATCTTAATGACTTTTCTCTCAGCAGTTGGTAATGGTGAAATGTTATTCTAGTAACCATAATGTCTCTCATAAAACAATTGCATACAATATGTACTGTACTTCTATTTTAGTGAGCTCTTCTGTCAGAATAGCAGTTCCAGTAACCATTTAGCATTTCATCGCAAACTGCTTACCAGTCTTTCAAGTGTAATATTGCAGAAAGAGTGAAGAAATGCGTGATTAAAAACATTCACTGAGAGTGGACCATTTAATGCAACCCGACACTGCAAAATAAACCAGCCTTCACATATGTAGGCGCTCATCATATAAATGACAGTTCTATGTGGTCATTTAATTTTACGATCTCAATTCTTGCATATATTGCTCACATAAATATAGTGTTCTCCTGCAGGGAGGTCTGCTGGGTGTTATAAAATCAATGAGACCTCAATGGGTTCAAATGGACATCTTTTATAATTATTGCTATAAAATTTCTTGACAATGCATTTTGTTGTCCAATAGCTAAAGAAAATGATTTTCTATAAGAATGGGTTTCAACAAAGAGAGTAACAGAGCCTGGAAATTTGTTCCTGTATTTGCCCATATTCAAATTACCTTAGTTACACTCACCTATTGGAGGCTTTCCTGTTCTTCGAAGTAAGTTCTTAAAATGTGGCTTCCAGTTAGAAGCTGACCAGGTTTAAACTGTTTTCTGGTTTGATGAAGCAATGTGGATTACCTAGAGGGAAGGATTAATTTTAATTGCAGTTAAAATCTATTTACAGGGAATTCTTTCATGCACTTGGACAGATAAAGAAAGATAGGGAAAAGAGTTCCATAAACTCAGGATTAAATATGGTTTGAATAGAAAACATATCAACTTTTTAAAATTGTACCAAAAGCACCATGTATTATTTGAAGAATTCTATTACTTTTTCTGACTTTTTCAGGGTCATATATTAGGCAGTACAGAGAAATTAATATGGTGGATGTTCTTTACTATGTATTGGGACACTTTAATTTCCTCTTAGTTTTTATATTTTCTCTAAGACAAGTTTGATTAGCATTGTTGCCATGTGTGACAAGTGTTTAATGGCCCACTAATTGGATTTGGGTATTTGTTTCCTATGGTTATCCTGTAACTACTATAGTAACGTATTTTTTACACTTTCCATTTGAAAATGCAATAAAATATTCACTATTTATTGTGGAAAAGAAAATGAATGCTTAATAAATTTTCAAGTGTTAAAATATTAATGTGTAGTCACATGAGTTGAAGTAGAAAGAAGGAGAGTGAACTATGAGCCATAGCCTCGCTCTGTGGAGAAGCAACAGTGCTGAGTGTGGCACCGGTGGGGAAAGCATGTCCTGAGGGCATTTGGGCTCTAGGCTTTTTTTGTCCCTGCTTCATCTCTATCATCTCCCGTAGGGATCATTTGGCCTTAGCCTCTGCTGCTTTTGGTGCTAATCTAGCAGCAGCACCAATGTTAGGATGGAGATTTAGCTTTCTCCCACCTTAATTTTGAAGTTTGATCAAGGCTTCACCTTCACATGCAGGGATGAGTGTGTAACATAAATTTAGGTCAAAAATGGAATCACATTCTGCTTATCACAGTGATTGGTTCAGAGAGCACACATGACTTTGTTCCGTTACCTCATAGTGGGTTTCAGAACTTTTATATAAACCATTAGAAAACAACAACAACAAAGACTGCTCTGGATGTTGATCATGGAGGAGTTGAGATGAGAGGAAGCTCCATTGCCCACATTTTACCACCTAATGGGGCTTGAGACTGAGGCTTTGACACAGAAGAAAACAGTAAAAATCTGGAGATAATGAGAGATCAGATTATGAATCACTTGTACTCTTCATTTAAGTTTCACCTAAAGCTAAATCTAGCCTAAACAGTTTTGGCTAAAGTTGAGTTTCCTGAAACTGAGAGAGCCTTAACTAATTCACATGTCCCTTACCTTAATTTTCTTATGAGATCAGTAACCATCATCTTTTTCTGCCTAAGGTAATTCAGTTCACTTTTTGATATTTGTAACCAAAATAATACTAATAGACTATTGTTTGCTGATGGCAGATTCAATATTTTGACCTCTGCTTCTCCTGTGTCTAAGCAATCAACTCATTCTTTCATTCCATTAATATAATCGTACAGATACAATTGATATTGAGTGTCTTCTATGTGATAGATACTATTGACGTAACAGTAAAAAGTACATAGTTTTTGTCTTCTTAAAGTAGAGGGTCTCATGATAGAAAAGACTGTTAAAGAAGCAGTTACAATGAGAGGGAGAATATAAGAAGTTCTTAAAAGAACGTAAAGAAATACCAAGCCCTTAAATGACGGGTCATATAGTCTCCTGAATGAGGGAGCATCAAACCTGAGGCCTGAGAGATAAGTAAAACCAGAAAGGCTAAGGCAAGGCAAGGAGACAGAGAGTTGAAAAGTCTACATTCCAAAGAAAACATAAATTAACTAACTGAAAAGACATCCAGGACGGCTTAATAAGGGGCCATAGCAAGAGAGGTGGTTTAGGAGTGGAAAGAGGCAGGATTAAAAGCGAATAGGCATGGAATAAACTAGCCTATGAAGGGCCTGGGAAACAAAAGGAATTTGGACTTTATCTTAAAAACTGTAAAAAGACAATCAGGTTTTAAATAGGGAGACGGTATGATCAGGTTTTGATGTGTCTAAATCCAGATTTAGGTAATCAGAGACCTTATTCAAAAGATTATTACAATAAGTGAAGGCAGACTATTTCAATATGAGCAGAGAGATTATTGCAATAAGAAGGCGGCTCCAACCACAACATCTGCAAAAGTTTCAAAGTTCAGGCAGAAAAAAACACTTTTCTTTTATAGGAAGTAGTGAGCAAGGCTTAAAACCAATCAGGTATGAGAAAACTAGATGATTGGATGAAAATGGCATGGCTGGATAGTGGATCAGAGAATGTTTTTCCCTGAGGATAGTCTACTACTCGGGGGGACTATTATATGGACAGGTTGTGTGCTGGCTTAGTGCTAATAACAGGTCAAAACTTATGGGCCTGTGGGAAGGAGAGAAGCTTAACTATTTTGATCAAGAGATCTTAGAAGGCATTTTGTTCAGATTAGTCAGTGAGTACAAAAATTCAGCTAATCACATATGAGGCAAAGAATGGGAATTTGGAGACTGTGTCTGTGTGTCATGTTGTCATAGGTAAACAAAAAGAGCAGCTGTGAGTTGTATCTAAGTTACATGGGGAAGAGTGGTTCTTTGCAGTAAACCATATTATGGAATACAAAAGGGTGGGAGAACTTCTAACTTGTATCTATTTTCTAGGAGCACAGGGCTTAGGTAAACTTTAACATGGTCGGGTTTCAGAAATATTTTGATTTACCATGGATAAGATTTTGAAAGCACACAAGAGCAAAGGAAAAAGCGTGCAGTAATTTCTTTTTTTTTTTTTTTTTTTTGAGACGGAGTTTCGCTCTTGTTACCCAGGCTGGAGTGCAATGGCATGACCTTGGCTCATTGCAACCTCCGCCTCCTGGGTTCAGGCAATTCTCCTCCCTCAGCCTCCTGAGTAGCTGGGGCTATAGGCACGCGCCACCATGCCCAGCTAATTATTTGTATTTTTAGTGGAGACGGGGTTTCACCATGTTGACCACGATGGTCTCGATCTCTTGACCTTGTCATCCACCCGCCTTGGCCTCCCAAAGTGCTGGGATTACAGGCATGAGCCACCGTGCCCGGCCTGAAAAGTGTGCAGTAATTTAAGTGCAATTGCCCTGAACCAGGGTAAAGACTCTATAGTCATAAAGAAGCTGTGGATTACAAAGATTTTAAAAATACAAATACAAAAAAAACAGGTCTTAGTGTTTGATTGGACCTGGAATATGAGCAAAATATTTAAGTCACAAGTGTGTCAAGAAGTTAATTCCTTTAGCTGAAATTTTTCCTCTTAAATTCCCCAATGGCCTCTTTGATTATCAATCTGCAAGAGGTCCTTTGAATCACTGCTTTCCCAAGATATCTTAATCAAGGACTCAGGTTTCCTCTGGTATGCTTCCTTTCCCCCATATCATCTGTCCTCCATAGTTTTAGCCTTATGTGTTGTCTTTACTTATTAACAAAAGGTAGACTGTAATAACTCTTCTTTTAATCAATGTCTGGTCTCCAAAAACAACTATTTTGGAGTATATCTCTTAATCCAGTCTGTCTTTCAGACTTAAAAATGATTACTATCAGTCTTATATAACTAACTTTTACCAATCCTTACCTGGTTTTTGATTGTTAAAAAATTCATTTGCTCTGTACTGAACAGGTGTTTTAAGGTTGCTTTTAGCAACATAACTTCTTTGAACTTTTCTGAAATGCAGCATACATACATAAAAGTACACAGATCTGGAGTGTATAGGTCAATGCCTTTGCAGAAAATGAGTGTGTACATGTAACCAGAATCCAAATAAAAGAAAAAAAGAACCAGCACCCTAGAAACCCTACACTGTGCCCATTTTTAAAACTCTACATCCTATATTGATTGCTAATACATACATTAATTTTGCCTATTTTTAAATCAAATAAAATACTATGCAACCTTTTGTGTCTGGCTTTTCTCTTATTATTTGTGAGATTTACCTATACTGTTACTTATAGTAATCTATTCTCATTGCTGTATTGTAGTCCATTATTTGAATATAGTACAACTTATTTATTTATTGCCATTAAGAGGCATTTGGATACTTTTTAGTTACAGGTACATGATTAGTGCTATTATAAGAATTCTTGCACATGGGTAATTTCTTGAGTACCAATTTAATTTGAAGAATTTGTCACTGAATTCCTTTCTAAGCCTTAGATATATGGTAAATAATTTTTTAACCACTTTGGGGTTTCTTATAATTCTATTTGTAGTATAATCCTGTTATTTAAATGTAGTTCTTTTACCTATGTGACTACGTAGTGTAAATGTCTATGGACTTTAACTATGATTTTCCATTGGTTTCTCAGGTGAAATTTATCCTTAAGTTTTTTTTCAAGAAGAGCTCAGGAATAATATTTACCTGTTTATACAAGTTAAAAAGGACTTAAAATGCTTTGAAAACAACTTGCCTAATTATAAAATAATTAACATCCATATATATACTTTTTTTTTTTTTGCTTTATTCAGGTGCCTTGTAGCATTGAGTGCTGCTGCAGCAATGTGAAGCAAGCCTACTGTCAGCTTCTCATAGAGAACTGGATATCTTTTCTGACTGCTTATTGTGGACTGAATTGTGTCCAATTCAAAAGTCATGTTAAAGCGCTAACCCCCAATGTCATTGTTAAGGAGGAAATTCAGGTTAAATGAGGTCATAGGGGTGGGACACTTAATTCAATATGACTGGCATCCTTATAAGAAGAAAGACACCAAGGATTCACACTCACAGAAAAACTGCTCATGAGGACATAGAGAAAAGATAGCCATCAGCAAGCCAAGGAGAGAGGCATCAAGAGAAACCAAACCTGCTGACACTTTAATCTTAGACCTCCAGCCTCCATACTGTGAGATAAATTTCTGTTATTTAAGTTACGTAGTCTGTGGTATTTTGTTATGGCAACCCTAGCAAACTAATACGCAGCCCTTTTCATGAATTTTTTTTTTTTTTTTTTTTTTTTTTTGCATAAAATCCAGATCCTTCACAACCATTTCATGATTTTTGATTTCAGGGTATGTCTTGGTGTTAATACTTACATATCAAATTTT